AGAGAGAGAGAGAGAGAGAGAGAGAGACAGGCACGGTGGCACCTATAATCCTAGCTACTCTGTGGCTAAAGTAGAAAGATTATAAGTTCAAGGCCAGCCTGAGCAACTTAGTGAGACCCTGTCTCAAAATGAAAAATAAAAAAATCTAGGGATGTAATTCAGTGATAGGTGACTTGCCTAGCATGCACTAGGCCCCAGGTTCAATCCCCAGTGCTACAAAAATGCTGAGGATAATGATGATATCCATGATGACGACAATGATAATGGTAATGATGATACTGTAGTATACCAGAATGCCAAGAACCCATAGCTAATTTTCCAAGCATGTGTAGTTCCCAGCTTTCCATAGCATATATTGAATCTCTCGGAGGTGGTTAGTGAATTAAATTGGATGCCATGAATTTGCATTCTGTACATCATTGCCACCTATCCCATGTTTATAGACAACAAGTCTAATGCATTTTCTTTATAAAAGTTCTCTCTGTAATTCCCTTCCCTTTCCAGGAAGTGTTAAACATGCTGAAGGAAAGCAAGGCAGACATCTTTGTGGACCCAGTTCTTCACACAGCATGTGCCCTGGACATTAAACACCACTGTGCAGCCATCACCCCTGGCCGTGGGCGTCGTAAGTCACTGAATTCACTTTGGCCCTTTCTGAACTCACTTGGGAGAAGCAAAGGCTCAATCTCAGCCGTCAGTTGCTCCTACTCTGTTCTGTGGCTACAGCCTAACCATAGACAATATCCCTCAGGAGCAAGGTTGATGCCTTTGTGGCATAATGAATTTAGGAATAATCCTGAAGATTTGAGCTGATCTAACCATGGGCAGAGCTAAAGATCTAGTGAAAGGGGTGTTGAGTAATTTATCACAGAAGCAAAAGTTAAGCCATCATCATGGTCCTCTTCCCCTTCTCTTACCCAAACAAGGCTTCCCCAAGGGCCACAGTGGGCACAGTAGGCAGGTTCCATGTAAGGCTGGAACCTGGCAGGTGTAAGTTTGTTTCTAAACCAGGAATACCCAGTAAAAATTGGAGTGATCTTAAGAGAGATTCTAGACAGCCACCCTGCGAGTTACATCCCATCCTCGACATGCTGGATCTTGGGTCAAGTTTCCTAGAATGGATTTGACTTTATTGAACCTGAAGATCTAAATTCTCTGGTGGTTGGATATCCATCCCCTGGCTTTCTAGAAATGTTTCTGTTCTGTGTAGTTGCAGACTTTTTCTTACCTGTTTTCTCTCACAGAAATGTCCTGCCTAATGGAGGCCCTGGAGGATAAGCGGGTGAGATTACAGCCTGAGTGCAAAAAGCGCCTCAATGACCGGATTGAAATGTGGAGTTATGCTGCAAAGGTAAAGACCTAGTGGAGTTCCAGAGTGACCATCTCTTCTGTCCATTTCCAGACGCTCTGAGGTATTTTCTGGTGGTCTTGTCCTTGCTGGAAGACTAGCAGTAGGTATATTTGAGTGAGCCTTTAAAACTTCTTGACTGCTCATGAACCCAAAGCCATCTTATTCCTTTGGACTAGTTCTGTAAGACTTTGCCAGCATCACCAATTGCTTATAGCCCACCGCTGAAAAGTGAGCCACCCAAAGAGAAAAGGAACATCATGCCCATGGGAAAAGAAAGAAATCCAAAAGTCTTACATCTCATTTTTTAAAGATTTACACAGTCTTTGGAAGAAAGTATTATGTGAGACCAGAGCTCAGCTGGCCTGGGACACAGAAGGATGAGATGAAGAGAGGCTTTGGGATGAATAGGGTACCCCAGTAGGGGGATCTGGAAGAGAAGAGAGCTCCCTCCAGAAGTACAGTTCAGTAAGAAGAGTGAAAGTGTTTCTCACATATATGTTGCTTTATAATTTATAAAATGTTTGGATGGCTATTACTTCATATGAACCTCAGATTCCAACGAGGTAAGTAGAATGATTATTTTATCACTTTATGGTGGAGGGTACTGACTTCAGAGATTATGACTTGTCCAAACTGCCTCAGGTTTCTCAATCCATGCTTTTATATTGACCCACACTGGAGTAAACTTTCCTAGTGACCTTAGGTTGAGACAGTGACCACAGGATCTCTTCTCCTTCTTGACCAATTTCCCCTGGTCACCCATCTGCTTAAAGGTCAAAGTTGAACACGCTGGATGCAGTGGTACACCCCTGTAGTCCCAGATGCTCAGAAGCCTGAGGCAGCAGGATCCCTTGAGCCCAGGAATTTGAAGCCAGCCTGGGCCATGTAGTAGGACCCTGGTCTCAAAAAAAAGGTCAAGGGTAACAAGGCAGGAGTGAACCCGCAAAGAAAGTCTGCATACCTGGTCAGAAGGGAAATGCCCGGGTGGGATCATGTTTGTCACAGGAGTCTATCTTCCTTTCATTCCTCCCAAAGGAAAAAAGTCATTGTGAAGCCCTCAGTTAGATAGAGCACCCACCATTCGGTCCATTTTTCCCTCACTGGCTTCTGCTCCTTTGAGCTGCTTCACATTGCCTCAGAGTGACTCACTGCTCGTTTGGCAAATGTGGGTGCTCAAATCTCATAAATCCCATGCCTCCCTGCTCTATTCTGTGTACACAAGGTGAACATAGGAGCAGCACAGAGAGCCAGGTTGAGACTCAGAGAACATCTACATGTACACACGGAGAACCTTCTGGTCCTGATTGTGTTGTAGCAGGCTATCATAGAGTGCATTATTGAAAACAGTGGAAATGGAGGGTGAATAGTAGTGAAGCCAGGTGCACACCTGTAATCCTTGACTCTGGAGGCTGAGGCAGGAGGATTGCAAGTCTGAGGCCAGCCTGGGCAACTTAATGAGACCCTGTCTCAAAAGGGCTGGGGCTGTAGCTCAGTGGTAGAGTGCCCCTGGGTTCAATCCTTAGTACCAAAAAAGGGTGCCCATGACTAGTGCTTGGTGAATACATGATGTAATCGTGTTGTTGTATCTTGTTTTTGATGTGGGCGATGCTTGTTTTCTAATGGTGAGTAAAGTCAATATAGAGAAATAGCATATAACAAAATCTCAAGTTTTGTCTTTGTTTTCAAAAAGGGAGCAACATGATAAAGAGTAGAAATCAAAATATATAAGAATCCATAGCTTTATGCAAGTCATATCTAACCCTGAGCCGCTGGGTTTTCATTTTTAATATAGGAGCTATGAGATTTGCTGGTAAAATACACAGAGCTCTTGCCCAGACTGACATGGACGAGTCCACAGTGCAAGAGGCTGGCTGTTAATGTACCAGCAGTGGAGGTCACTATGGAGAAATTGGGGGTGATCTCCTCTCTTTGTAACTTTATGTGTCTGAATTTTGTGCAGTGGATATATGTAGTTCTATGATAAGGTGGAAACGTTCTATCTATGTGTGATTTTTCTCTCCTTCCCTAAAAGAAAAGACATAAATTAAACTAGGAATTGTGGGAGCAAGTTAGACTCAGCACCATAGCCATCCAGCTCTGCCTCTAGGGTCACGCTCTTATCTCCTTCCAGGTGGCCCCAGCAGATGGCTTCTCTGATCTCGCCATGCAAGTGATGACCTCCCCATCGAAGAACTACATCCTCTCTGTGATCAGTGGGAGCATCTGTATATTGTTCCTGATTGGCCTGATGTGTGGACGGATCACCAAGCGAGTGACACGAGAGCTCAAGGACAGGTAGAGCCTCCTTGACCACCAAAGGAACTACCTGCCCAGTGCCCAGTCTGTACAGCCTCCTGTATAGTGTACCCTCACCTCGCCCTTCCAAGAGGTGGCACCATCACCCACGATAGAGCAGCAGCAGGTGCCCACTGCATTGTCCCGTCCAGACCTGGCTACGTCCACGGTATTCTCCTCCGCCGCTGTCTGCAGCATCAGCAACTGGCCGCTTTGGTGGTTGCCATTGTTGGCATACTTGGGTTTACCTGCCTGTAGACATGTCTCTGTACCAACAGGACTACCCGACACTTCCAGAACCAACTCACCTGACCTGCAACTCAAAACACTTTTTTTTAAAAAACCACCAAAAAAAAGGGGGGGGGAGAAATTTTTAAAGAAAGAAAAAAATGTACATAGTAACACATGTCCTCCTCCAGTTTTGACTTGGACCACAGGGTTATTTCTTCCCTGTAGCTGTGTCAGACAAAGGCAGGACTAGGAGGGGATGCATACCCCAGCACGCCATCACTGAGAGTCTGGCTCATCTCCCAGAAGCACCTTTGGGCTGGATCAGGGCAAAGACTTCACCAGGGACTGGAAAACCACTAACCAGCCTCTGTGGGGCCTGTGGCTTCTGCTGAAGTAGTGATACCTTCCAGTCCCGCCCAAAATGAACTGCAACTAGTCAAGTCCCACAGCTAGGGTGTTTCTGTGATCTCCTCACCTGGTGCAGTCAGCCATGAGCCTTGGGGAGGGCAGCTCTTCTGGGTCAGAGGTCCGTGAAGCAGGACAGTCCACTGATCTGCACTGGGAGACTGGATTCTGAGTCTACACAGCAGGACTCCATCATCTTTCTTCTCCAGGATGGTGTGGACTATCACGTCTATGTTGGCCCTGCCAAGGGTACGGTCACTTCAGAAGTTCTCTTCTCCAGGAGACAGTGACTGAGGAGAGGGGTATACTGGGGTAGGCAGCAGAGCAGGAAGGAAGAACAGAGGTCTGACTCACTTGGCTTTATATTTCAGGCTACAATACAGGTCAGAGACAATGACCTATAAAGGTTTAGCAAGGCCTCAGGATGTGACTGACCATCCAGCCTGACCTTTCTGCACGCTCCAGGTGAATTTCCCAGACAAGCTCCTCCATGCCTCTGCGTGAAGGGGTATGGAAAGTGATTACATTAAAAGATGGAGATTTTCTCCGTTCTTTTTTCTGTCCATTTGCTGTGTGTTCCCGCTATAGTAGGCACTGGCTAAATGTGGTCTTTTGGTGATTCATCAGCTTTCTGAAGCTTTATGGGAACAACACTGCTGGCTGTTCTCCCTTGTTGCTCCAGCATGGAGATGTAGGTGTGGGGCAGAGGAGGAGGAGCCCAGGCGTCGAGGTTCAGCCAGGCTCTCCTTTGATTGAGCTTGGGGCCTGGCGTCACGGTGGCTGTGTAGGAGGGCAGCATGTACAGTAGGAGATATATTTATATAATATATATTTTATTAACCTGTTAGACGTCCACAAAGTATTATAAATCACGTGCCTAAAACTGTCCACATAGACCGAGGCCCCCTGGCATTGCCCTTCCTCCTCCTGCCTCTCCTTCACACTGTTGAGTGCCGCGGTACCTGAGTGACATTGTCTTCCCTGGAGTGTGTTCAGTGCAAGCCGTGTCAGTTGCGGATCAGTCGATCCAGATTACTCCTTGTCTCACTGACTGACATAACATTGGAATACTGTGGTTTTTATCCTTTTCCTTTTCCCTGTTTGCTGCCTTTCCTGGAGGGAGTGGGTTCCAGAAGTCGCTGTAAGTTCCCTGCTTAGAGTAATACAAATCTTCAGGGAGTCTGCTGAGCTGCTTTGTCCAGTCCCTCAGTCCTCCTCTTAGTGTCTTCTGATTCTCAGCAGCTCTCCTGGGAGTCTTCAGTCTCGTGATTCTTGTGACACCTACTATGTAAGCAGCTGCCACCCCTAAATGCTGCCGACAAAGCTGAGTTGGTCAGAGGGTCCCTCCCTCTCTAGGAACTGGGGCTTGATATCCAGAACTGGGACCATCCCATGGGAACGCAGGTCTCCAGTGCACGTCAGCGTGGTTTGCAGGACAGGGGTTAGTATTCGCCATTAGGCTGGGGTGGGGAGTATCATTCCCATCCCTGCAGCTTCCTTCCCAATATATGGAAAACATCCTTGTCGTTCTAGTGCATCTCAGTATTCTTTGTGAACTGACAGAAAATCCCATTAATTGTCTGCAGCAGATTTGGAGGTCTGATGAGTTTGGCTCTTTAAATATTTGTTATTTTTAGAACTGTCCAGAATAAGGCCAGGCATGGTGGTAAATGCCCATAATCCCATGTACTAGGAGGCTGAGGTGGGAGGATCACAAGTTCAGGGGGCTAGCTGGAGCAGCTTATCAAGACCCCATCTCGAAAATGGAAAGGGCTGCAGTGTAGCTCAGTGATGGAGCTCTTGCCTAGCCTGTTTGAGTCCCTCAGTTCAATCCCCAGTAGTGTTTAAAAAGAGAGAGAAAGAGTAACTCTGCTGGTGTCTTCAGCTGCTTATTTCAAGGGGCTCTTGAGAGTCCCATACCCAGTCTTGAGCAAGTTTTTCTAAGCCCAGGAAACCCAATGCCATCTGCATTGGCAGCCTACTCACCCACTCTGTACTTCATTTGGCCTAATAGCAAGTTGTACGACACCCTGGGGTGCATCATGGGTATGAATAAGGTAGTTGAAGCTAGTCAAGAGGAACCCAGGCCCTACTACAGGAGCTGGCAATGAACTCTGGCCTTTCTCTCTTTTGATATAGAGCCCACAAACAAGCATGTAAAAAGCAGAATGTTTGGGACAAGGTTTCAGGCACTTGACAAATTACAGCAGCCAGGTCTCACCAGCATCTCACTCTTGGACACAGTGCTCCAGCCCTCTTGAGACTCCAGGACCCAGGTTCCTGGGCTAGAGGCACTGTGGTTGGGAGGTCAGAGATCTGGACAGAATGCCAAACAAGATCTGCACCTTCTAAGACTTTCTCCCACAGAAGGAGAGCTCCATGCCTGGGATACTTCTTTATCTTGGTGTGTCCCTGGACTTATCTGCTGTTGCTGCTGTCCCAAGGCTGGTCTGGTGGCAGGGAGCACTGACAGGGGAGCCATACCAAAGGCTTGGGTGCCCTCTGGAGAAAGCCCTCATTCCCTACACTCCCAGGAGACCCTCTGTTTCCCTGCTCTAGCCCCAGTTCTGTGGATCCAGTTGATTTGTCTGAGCCAGTGCTAGTGTGTCCTTAGAAGCTGGGGGACTTGAGGGCTGTGGAGGAGCTAATGTTTATGAGCTGGTGCTGCTGGGAACTCGCTGCAGCACCCTGGTGGTCTCATCTTAGGCTTACTCTCCTGTGCGACCCAGCAGGCTGGAGGACATGGGTAAGAGACTGCTTTCCTAGGAGATGTGGCAGAAAGAGATTAAAATTCCATGTCTTCCTGCTTCCTGGGGTCAACTGATAGAAGAATCCAATGGCAAGGATGCTGACATTTATATTTTATTAGACAGATTGGTAAGGAAATTATGTGGCTAATGTCCCTCAACCTTCACAAGAGAATATTAACTCTTGTACGTCATTGTGACTTTTGGAACTATCCCCATTCTCTCCACCTTCAGGATAATAATATCACTTCTGTCCAAACGATCTCCCTAGTATGAGTCATGGGGGCACTTCCTGGGTCTCCTTTCCTAGCTGGTCTTAAGTCCCTCTGAGATAAGACCTTCCCCTGCCCCATCACAAAACAAGCCTTCTCCACATGTGATGGATCTCAGTATCTCAGTAAGAGGATGAGAAAAGCTAGCTGGACTGGAGCCCTCAGAAGTCATCCATTCCAGCCTGGCACCAGTACCCCCAAATTGTGATCATAGAATCAAAAGAAGAATGTGGCTTTTTTATTTTGTGTATTTTGAAATGTTAACTTATACTTTAGCTTCTTAAGAGTTTTACAAAACTCAACTCCATGCCCTTCGATTGCTCACTATTTGAGCACACCGAAGTAGTTTTACAATGTACAGCGCCCTAGTGTCCTTAGTTCTGTTGGGGATTCACGTTACTTCTCTCCTGTCACCTCTCCATCACTTGGCTTTGATTCCCAACGGTACTTTAACAGGATCTTGTGCCTGGCCTTCCCCCATCCATTTGTGTTTGATTTGCCATCCATCTAACTACATTCCCCCTTTGTCCCTCTACCAGAGAGGACCAGGCTACCTGTAAGGGCAGTCAGGTTTGAAGACGAGTCCCCCTTCCTACCCAGACCTCATACAACATGTGAATCTTAAACCCAGACTGCACTTCAGGCTCACATTCTTCCCAAGCCATCTAGTGAGTCTGATGTGGGGACCTACGGACTGTTTTTTGTTACCTGGAGCACAAAGATGGATCAGTCAGCAGATTGGTGGTGATGAGGTCCTGACGGGGGTCTCCTCTTCCCTCCTCTCCCCTGCAACCCACCAGGACACTAGGCCCTGCACAGTAGAGAGATCTTCCCAGGCAAGGAAGTGGTGTGGACAGTGCCTGTGTTGTGTTTGCCTTCCCCGCAGCGTAGGGCTGACATCTGGACCTCCCTCTGCCGGGCAACAGGTGGTTGGAACAGGTGCCCAGATCACACTAGTGCACTGGGCAGCAAGCTTCCCAAGTGGCTGCCTCCAGCTCAAAGCCCCCAGCTCAGTCCTGGCAGGACAGGCAACACGGCAGTCCTGTGTGAAATCTTAGGCGTCTTGACCTTTTTTTTTTTTTTTTCCTTGAAAGAAAAGTACAATTAACAAGCCTCTTTTGTAAATGGGTTTCCTTTCTATGTATAAAGTCCCGGCAGTTCCTTGTTTTTACATGTTCATGCTGTGTAATTTTGAGATGTTACTGAGATTCTGAACATAGTGTGCATTTTTTTCTGTACAGATGAAACAGGAGAATTTAATAAAGAGTTTGCAGGTTTGTACTTGTTAAATCTTCTCTGTGGTGACTGGGAGAAATCTCCAAGTGTTCAGAGGTGTCAGCAATGACTGAATTGCCAGTGAGGCCCTCAGGTCACAGCTGAGGGCCCACCAGAGTAGGACTGCAAGATGTTCGAAGAGAAGGGACCTGTGTTCCTGTTCTCTCTATGCCAGGACAGGGCTGAGAGTCACATCTGGAGTTTTCAGGCTGATGAGTGCAAAATTACCCATTCCCATGACGTGATTAAGGCCTTGTCCTGGGGCACAGCCCTGGAACCTCTCCTTGAGGTGCTTCACATAAGATGGCTGGTCCTGCAAGTGGTGCCTGGGCTCAGCTCTGCCACTGACTGCCCCTTCTGCTCAGTCCTATCCTTACCCAAAGCCCTGCCCTGTGTCCGTGGCCTTCCCTGGATGCCCTTCCTGGGCATTTCCTTCTATTCCACTCTCAGCAAAGCTGATTTGCATCTGAGTGTTAAAAGTTAAAAGCTTAGGGATCCCTCTCTTGGGCCCTCCTTCCCCTTTAGAAGCATTGCTTTCTCTCTATTACTCTGATATTTGCTGGGGGGCAAGGCGGTGGAAGGGCTTAATGGCACACACTTGTAATCCCAGGGACTCTGGAGGATCTCCAGTTCAAAGCCAGCCTCAGCAATTTAGCTAAATCCTGTCTCAAAAAGGGCTGAGGATGTAACTCAGTGGTTAGGCACACTTGGGTTCAATCCCTAGTAACATCAAAAAGGAAAAAAATTGCTGGGGATTTAGCTCAGTTGGTAGAGTGGCATGCACAAAGCCCTGTGTTCAATCCCCAGCATTAAAATTTTAAAAAGTTACTAGCTTAAGGAATGTACCAGGTGGCAGGAAGTTTTGAAGTAGTTATGTCCATACGGTGATTCAAGATTCAATTGGTGGGCTATGCAGGGAGAGAGGAAGTGTTGACCTGGGGCCTGGGCTCCTCAGAACTCCTCCCACCCCTATAGGCAGCTGTCACTTAGGAGTTGGTGGGTCAGGGCATGAAGTTGAGGCCAGGGGAAGGTGAAGCGTTGAAGAGTAGAGAATGAGATTTTGGGAACTTCTGAGTCCTAGCTACGAACACTCTTGTCTAGGGCCTTGGGCAGCCATCAGCTGATGTGTGGAGTCTGGTCACAGAGGCCCTGAGTGGCTTCAGTGGATCTTAGGAAGTGGCTGAGTCCAGGCTGGAGCTCAGGAGCCATTTGGCATTTGTCCACAAAGGGGGTTACAATTTAAAAGGGCTTTAGCCAAAAGCCTGGTGGGGACTTAGGCCATGTGACTCTCACTTGATGAGGGGGTGGGGCCTCTTCCAGCTGCCAGTGTCCAAACACTTCACCTCTGACCAACTGGACACCTTTGCACTTCAATGACCAAAGGGAGACCCCAGCCACCTATCAGGGTCCGTGGGATCTGGGTCCTGAGACTCCTCCGACTGTCCTCCCCAAGTACTGCTGCCCTGGTCAGGATCCCACCTCCCTTGCCCAACACAGCACAGCACAGCCATGTTTGCTCAGAGACTCTATTTGTGGAGAAACTTGGGCAACCCGGAGGAAGAAAGAGGGAGCAGAGGAGAAAGGAGGGGCGGGGACTAGGAGGAAGCTGGCTGAATGCTGGTGGAGGCTGGAGCGCAGGCAGCCTTCGTGAGGTCTTGCAGGTCGCTGGGGCTTGGTGTTTCATCCTCCGGGGCCCTGACAGGACTGTGCCCCCTGCCTTCCTGAGGCCTGGAATCCCCAGGGACTGCTTGAGCCTCCTGGGTGGGAGACACCTGCAGGTGGCCCAGGCAGCAGCGATTCCTCCAGAGAACCACCAGGATCAGGCCATAAAGGGGAGTGGCACCCAGCAGCCCCAGGTAGCAGTAGGTGACGGCAGTCAGCGTGTGCTCCAGCTCTGCTGTGGAGACAGAGGGAGGGGCTGCCAAGCCTTTGAAGTGGGTCCTCACTGTCCCTGCCCTGGTGCCTTCCAGAAAGCTTTCTCTCTGGCTCCTTTCATCCTTGGAAGTGTTTATATTCCTGCCCTCTGTGTTCTTGGGTTCTGCATCTAAGGAGTGAAAATCCTCTGAGGTGGCACAGGGGGTTGTGACTGTACTGAACACCTCTACTATTTTTTTTTCTGTCATTATTCTCTAAACAATGCAGTATAGCAACTATTTGCATAATATTTACATTGTATTTAGTATAATCTGGAAGTGGTTTCAAGTATACAGAAGTATAGGTTATATACGAATGCCACCCCTTTTCTATAAGAGACTTATGTGTCTGTGGATGTTGGTATCTGCCAGGGTTTTGTTCTAGAATATCCCACCCCTGCAGATACAAAGGGATGCCTGCATTTCCCTTTTCACAGATGGGACAGCAAGGCTTCCATTCTGCCAAGACAAGTGGTCGCTTTTTGGCCACTCAGAAGCCTCAGTACTGGATGTATGGGGCAGTGGGTGCATCTGAGGCCCAGAGAAGGTGAAGGACTCACCCAGGGGGCCAGGCAGGTTGGGGAAGAATCTGGAGGAGCCCAGGTGCTCTTCCCTAGCTGTCCACTTCAGGGCTCGGCTCCAGCTCCCTCTGGCAGGAGGCTTCTCCCCCTCCCTGTCCCTGTCCCTGCCCAAATGCTGTGGTTCTAACAGGACTCTCAGCGCATCTTTTCTGCACTGTAACCTTGGCTCAGCGTCTGACCAGGGCTTCCAGACTCCCTCACAGGATATTTGCCCTGGGAAACACTCAGTCCTCTGCCAACGGAGTGAACCTATTTGACATGGAGGGTGGAAGTCAAAAGGCATGACCTCACCACAGGTCAGCCTCTAGGGGTCCATACCAAGAGGGATGTCTCCACTGCTCTCATGAGTCTCATTCCAGTTGGGGTCCAGCTCTTTGCACCCTGCAACAGAACACATAGCCTTCAAATAACTTGAAATAGGCATTCACCACCAGAGAACAGAGTTCTGGAGGGATAGCAGCTAGTGGCAGCTGTCCTCATAGGCAACTGTCCCTAACTTCATTGAAGAGGCCTCAAAGGCCAGGTCCTTTAGGCACCGGGCCAAGCAAGACATGCTTTGCCACACACAGTAGGGCCTGTCTGGTCTGTCTGGTATTTGGGGTCTCTGTGATGTTCCTAAGATGGAGATTCACAAAGGAAGATGGGATACAGCAGGTTTAGGGTGTACGGGGCGTGAGAGGCTGGGGGAGGCAGATGTGCACAGCCCCTGGCCCCCTACTCACCTGGGCCGCCTGGCAAGTACAGTGCGGCCTCGATGGTCCCACTCTGGTGCAGGCCTTGGCAGCTCACGGTCGTCCCTGCAGCCTCCCGAGGCAGCTGCAGCCAGCTGACCAGGGGTCCCCCAGGCCTCCCTGTGAACTCGTCCTCCTCCCAGTGTTGGCCTCTCAGTACCCAGGAGATCCTCAGAGGGGCTGAGTGCTGTCCTAAGGCCACACACAGTGCGACAGAGGGAGGGCCGGAGGCTGGGACGAACAGGCTCAGCACTGGTGGTGGGAGAGCAGGAGCCTGCACCTCCGCTGTGGGGAGTGACAGAGGGTGTCCCCTAAGGCCACCAGCCTCCTTCAGACCACGGCCCTGCACGCCCTTCCTTCCTGGGGCCTGGAGAGTCCCTCCTTCCTTTCTCCTTTCCCCAGCCTTCCTCCCAGCTCCCAGCAACTGCCTTCCTTTCCTGGGATCTGCTTGGTCCCCCAGCCAGCCTCCACCCTGTGCAGCAGAATATGAGCTCAGAGCTGGTCTCTGCCACATGCACCTTCCCTCCTGGGCCTCCAGCAACCCTGCTGCAAGGCAGGGGAGGGAAGATGTACTGCTCTCCAGTCGCCTTCCCCCCCAACCCAGCGGTCAGGGGCTGCGGTGTGTGTCCATCTCCCTCAGCAGCAGTCCACTCTCCGCAGTCCTTCTCTCCTTCCCTCCACCCCTGCAGCCAAGGGTCCCCCCATACAGTTCTGTGGCTTTCGTCCCAAGGCCCCTGCTATCCTACTGTAGCCCTACACACTAGGGGATCCAGGGCCTCTGGGACTCACCCTGATAGAACAGACGCGTCCCCTCTCCAAAGAGATACAGGCCTGAGAACCACATGGCACAGTAGTAGATGCCCTCGTCAGCAGGGCTGGCATTGCCCACGGTGAGGCGTGCAGTATTCTGGGCCAGATCCATTTCTGCCAGGAAGCGGGGATTCACACCCAAGCCGTAGGTCGGGGGAGCCCCTTGTCGCTGACTCAGTAGGAAGGTGGGACCATGGCCCTGCAGCTGCTGGTACCAGGACAGGACGTGGGCCGCAATGGGAACGTCCTGCACCACACACAAGATCTGTGGGTTGCCTTGCCCACTCAGCACAGAAGGTTGAGGCTGGGACAGCGAGGGCAGGAGGGCCTGTATGGCACCTAAGAGGCAGAGGGACAGTCACCCACTGGACACAACTCCAGGATCATGTATTAGGTGCTCAGCTTAGGGTGAGCATGTGGGAAACACCAGAAGATACAAGGACCACTACAGTTCTGTAAGGAAAAGATAAACCTCCGTAGGGAAATAAGCAAAGAGTCATGAGTAAGCAATAGTCAAGGCAACAGCAGATTCACTCAGGAAATACTGCTGCCTCGCATGCGCCAGACTCTGTTTTTGGCATTTGGGTTATAGTAGAGACCAAGAGACGAAAGTTCTGCTACTGGGAAACTTTTTTGTTTTTACTTTTGTTATCAGGAATTGAACTCAGGGGCACTCATCCACTGAGCCACATCCCCAGTAGCCCTTTGTGTGTGTGTGTGTGTGTGTGTGTGTATTTTATTTAGAGACAGGGTCTCCATGAGTTGCTTAGAACCTCACTAAGTTGCTGAGACTGGCTTTGCACTTGCAATCATCCTGCCTCAGCCTCCCCAGTCGCTGGGATTCTTGTCAAGGGAACCACACCTGGCTACAGGACTATTTTTGATAACAAACATATGAGTGGCATTTCTCCATCTACAAACACTTCCTTTGTCCCAGGGATGCCCTGCAAACTGAACCAAAATCTGTGAGAATATCTATC